TTTTTTTTTTGTGAAAAAAGTTGGGGTGTTTGGTATATTGCATGGGCATGAAAGAGAAAATTGGGCCGTTTTGATATCATTTCCTTTTATATGATGAATCCAAACGGTACTGCCATCATATTTTTTGGGTGCCTGGTTTTTTTTTTGTTTTTGGTAATTAGTGACATTTTTTGGATTGGGCCGAAATTTTGTACAAAAATCATATTTTTGTTTTTTTGGAAGGATACAATCAACAGAAATACAAAACAACTTACATGCGATGAACCCAATATTACTACCAAAATTCTGAAACTCTTCGCCTTTCTTGATTTAAAACTCTAAATTTTTCATAATACTCCTAATTTCAAAATTCTCTGTAAAGACGTTAATAGCCTGTGACGCTGAATGTCTCAAATATACTGACTAACTAAATATCAAAACCGAACTACTGAAACTTATTGCCTCCCTTAATTTAAAAATCTGAATTTTTGTATATGCACCCATCTTCCAAATCCTTTGTAAAGACGTTAATAGCCTAGGATGCTGAATGTCTATAAATAAATTAACTAACTAAATATGATATGATAGCAATTTGAAAGAGGAAATATCAAAACAGCCGTCTTTTGCATCAGATGGTAATGACGATGATGTACTTGTGATACCGCTGAGATTTTTCCGAAACTATGGTTTGACAATTTTGCTCAAACTGCAAAAGTTCACATATAATTCTACGAGAAATGTTCGAATTTTAAAAATATCATTTATGTACAGGCTGTTACTTACTAAACTGTATTTGGTTCTACAGGTCTGAAATATATCAAAGGAGACATCATTGACTACGAAAAGCTTTTAAACGACGTGATCTTATCAACAGACGAAGCTTTAATGAAAGCATCAAAGGCAGCAAAGGAAGATTCAGGTAGTTTGGAAATCAGTATTGCAGGATCATATACTGCCGTGCTAAGGAAGAACGCCGTATAAACATTCGAGAGTTGCCAAATTTCCTTCGATAAAATGTTTATTTTTGCTGAAAGTCATGAATATTTTTCCTGGATATTTTCAGAGGTGAAATTGCGCACAAAATTATCTGAAAAATTGGAACGAAAATTTTCACAAGTTTACCAGGAAATTCGTGTTTTATCCAAGAAAATTTGGCAACGCCTGAAGGTTCATACGGCGTTTTTCCTTAGCACGGCAGTATAGTGCCAGTCACAATGCTCCAAGTTTCACAATACATATATCACAGTATCACTGTGTCACAATGTCACGGTATAGTGTCACAGTATTACAGTACATACATGATCTGGGAGTCGGAAGTCTCGGGGTTTATCATACTTGTTATTTTAACGAAGATTTTATCATGTATGTGTAACTAGATATAGAATTTGCTTGCCAGTAATGAAGATGCTCAATCACCGAAAAATCTCCCTACCCAGCTTCACCACGAGTGCGCATTTTTTTCATCTCAGAAAATGATGCATTTAACTCTTACCTTAAAACAAAACAAAAAAGAAACAAAATGATCAATCTTTAATGACCCTATTTTTGGCAAAATGGAGGGTTTTGGGTTTTGCTCTTTTAATTTTGATCCATTCTTACAAATACCTCTATGTTACATTTGACCTGTAATAAAATAGGGATCAACTCTTACAGGAACCACTGCACTAATTGCCATTCTGGAAGGATCACAGTTGATTGTGGCTAATGTTGGAGACTCTCGGGGTGTTATGTGCGATGCCACAGGTAACGCTGTGCCACTGTCATTCGACCACAAACCTAATAGGGTAAGTTCCAATATGAAGACAAATCCACCGATATTCTCTTTGGATCTGAAAAATACATTTGTTGGACCTACGCGTCAAACCATTTTATTCGGTAGGATAACCGCGTATGTTTCGAGTCTTTCACAAGTTTGGCACGAAAAACCTTCAAAAATGACAATTTCAACTCGCATTTTGAGGATTTAAAGTTTGGTTTCCAATTTTAGAAACGAAATTTTGTAAAGAAAATATTCAAAGTTATGACCTGCAAAAGGGCTCAAAGTGTTTGGATCACGAGTAAACTCAATGTTTTTTGTCGCTAGGAAAACGATTCACGTCGCTTGCAACCTGTATTTCCGGAACTTACGCAGTTTTTTAGACGAGAGAATATAACCACAAATCAATGTTACAAAACGTTCACACAATCATTGTTTCCTACTAGGAAACTCTTAAGAATTTCTCGTGAAAAATTTCACTGATTACCCGCTAATTACACGTAAAAGTTTGTCAAATTTTAAACTGAAACTGCCCGGTCACGTCATCATGCTTTAACATATAACCAAATGGGCATAAAGCGTAACGCCTGAGGCGCGAAGCGTTTTAAAGGGTAAGAGGGGCTGCAAAGCAGTCGGGGGAGTAGTATATCCTGGTTTTAATAAAAACTTGAAATTTTTTAGTCGGTTTCCTTTAATCATACAGGAAGAATTACGAATTGAGAGCGAGCTTTTCGTTCTTGTGGGGTACGTCGAAAAATTGAAATTCCTATCTATCGACCCACCTTGACAAAGCATCCCTGTTGAAAAAAGATCGCCCCAAAGAATAGTTCATTTTCGTAAACCCCCCTAATTTTAATGACATTTGGTTTAACGAAACCTTATATGGTGGCCGTACAATATTAAACATTGCAACTAAACGCAAGTATACCCACATCGGTAAAAAAGCACACCATACATTCATTTTTTAGGGCACGCTAATCAGCTTCCAAATTGATCATGTATGTGCTAGTTCGATCTAAAGATCAATTTAGCCAATTTCCATGATTTTTGTGGCTGTAAACAGTTAAATGACCTCAAAATTGGCCCATTTTTAAATGTTTAAACTATGACTTAAGAAGAAGCACTCAGCACTCACAGGGTGCAATCGCAGCGTCCTACGTGCTCGACTCACATAGCCCATGAGTTCTCTGTGCACCGAGAAAAAAGATTGGTAGAATTTACCGCTCCTTCACGCTGTATTTCACTCAGCGTCAATTCAGAGTCAATTCTGATAGAAGAAAGTAAACGTTACTTTATGCTGGTACAGATAACCATTCCTCTGGCAGAATCGACATTGAATCCACGCTGTGTAAACTACAGCGTGAAGGAATGGTAAATTCTACCAAGCTTTTTTCTCGGTGTGCTCAGCGTGAGAGTTATAACGTCGGAACGTGTTTTTTGCATTGATTGAACGGAAAACATATCGTGGACATTATTGTTTTACAGGGAGACGAGAAGGAAAGAATTGAGAAAGAAGGGGGAGGGGTCAAATTCAAGAACGGCAAATGGATGCTTGATGGATGGATAGAGATGTTAAGAACATTAGGTAATCGGCTTGACAAATTCAATGGTCTCATCGCAACCCCTGAAGTTCTGACTTTCTATCTCTCCGATTATAAGCCGCAGTTTTTAGTTTTAGCAACGGACGGCCTCTACAACGTCATGAGGAATGATCAAATAATCGCTTTCATTCAAGCAAGGCTCGATGAGGAATATTACGGGGCGAAAAGTTTGGTGCGGTATGCGTATCACCACAAGGGTCCAAAGATAACATCACGGTCATGGTGGTGAATTTAAAGGAGCGCAACTGGTCTGGGGCAAATATGAAAATGAGTAAATCCTCAAAAAGCTACAGTTGGTAACGGCGTCTGGATCCATGTGTTAGAAGTTTAAAGAGAGCATTTTCCAACAAAAGTAAAGCCAGAGACACTCCTAAGCAAAAAAGTATCGATGGCTAAAGAGGGAAACCTCGTATCTCTTTGCGATACGTCAAAATCTTGGCTCTTATTTTAATGTTTCAAAGAGAAACACGTCGACTATATAGCTTGAAAGGGTATCCCGGGATAAGCATGTCAAAATGCCCTTGTGAACGGATTTTTATTTTAACCATTTTAATGCATCAAGGGTGTCCTAAAACTTAGGTTTTGGGGAATTTTAGCCCCCCAACCCCCACCACCCCCCCTCAGACCCCCAAAAACCGCTTTTTGGGGCTATTTTTGACTATGCTAACGTCTTTTCCTCATAACTTTCGTAATTTTCGTTAGAATTGAACCAAAATTTGTCAGAATCTACATCAATTAGCTTAGTGTTTGCAGAAACAAATTCATCATCATCGGATAATATTTTAGCTACTAAAAAAATTCGTAAATTTTTTTAAAAAAATCATTTTTTTCCTTTTTTCGCGCTAGGTGACGTATGGAAACGAGTACACAAACAAAAATTGCCTCTTTTCTTAAGTTATACATCCAATAAGATACAGAAAAAATTTCGTGTTGATCGGAGTGGTGCGCCATACTTAAAAACGCAATTTTCTAACCTCAAAACGGCCAAAATGCCACCATAGCCTCCTTTGATGACTAGGCGTGGAGAAATATGTAGA